TAAAAGGTAATTATGCCAGAGGTTATGTATCCACAATGCTACAGCGACTACCGACTCTTCCACTTTTTACTCTTTAGATTAAGTACAGTAATTATTTGTAAAATGTGTTTTATACATAGAGTATTCATCCTTTGCACTGACCTGTATAAACTAAGTGTTGGGAAAGTTGCATGTTTCCTTAACAGTCAAAAGATACTTTATAAAGTCTATTCCATTATTTTGTACTAAAACTGCCACTGTCAACAGCTTGATATGTTAAATTGATTTTTCCATATACCTGAAAATCAGTGTTTCAAAAAAAATCATGTCAGGCATCCATCTTTTTTGCCTTGTAGGCTGCAATTTATTGTTGATAAGGTTACAGAAATTAAAGAGCAAGTGATTGAACGCACCCTTGAAGAGATCTCCTGTTTTGACGTATTTCCCATTGAGAAGATCATAGATGTCCCCAAGGTACAATGTTGTAACCCAATATTAGTCATTGATTTAGATGCTTTGCTGTATACTGGCAATCAATCAAGGAATTTAATAAAAAAAAAAGCAACAGAGCTAAGACACTCTTGATGTAACATTGATGCATTGATGTTCTATTATTTCTTTTGGAAGGACTATCACTTTCATTAATATATAATGCTTTGAAAGTGGATGGCGGACGTAAAGATGCAGTGGGTCATCACTTACAGTGAAATTGTTTGGTGATTATGTGTATATTTTTGTCCTTTTAGAATCCTGTGGAGTTTGTGCAATTTATAGAGTTTATTCTGGTGGAAAAGAAGGCCAAGGTAGAAGCAATGGAAAATACCATTAGAAACGCATTTGAGGATATCTTAAAAGCACTGAAGTCTTTTCAGGTAATATGGTATATTAGCATCATCTGGAAAAACAAATCCTTTATAGGTATACAGTAGTATATAAACATAAGGTAGTTCAGAAACAGGTTATGAGGAATGTATTCTTGTGATAGACAAATAGGGGCTCCAATGAAGGTATGATCACTTGAAAAGAATAATTGTATTTACCTGTGTATTTTTTTCCTTTGCAGCTTTAGTTACGTTACTTACATGTAATCTAGTATGTCCCACACATGAAGTCTGATAGATTATGTAGAAATCTTCACTGCAGGGCTGCCCTGTCATCTTCTTCCTGCCTTGAACCTTCTGGCACTGTGAGGGTTAATAGCTTTGGGTCCCTAGTTTAGCAGCACTAAAGATAATCTAATGGGGACACATGCATGGTCTAATAGAAATCAATGGGATTGCGCCTAAAACCGCATGTAAAAAGTGTATAGAATCACACTGTGTGTAAACCGCAGTGCACCGGTGTGAATCCGGATCTTTCAGGAGAACATTCAGTCTGGATCTGTCTGTCAGTTTTTTAGACAGATCCAGATGAAACCACAATGTTAGTCTGTGAGCAGGCCCATGTAAACAGCAGTATGTCTGTTTACATCCGTTTTCATCTGAGGCCGTTATGTCTGCTGAAAAAAAACAGGAAATGTTTCCCTTTTTTTAATTTTTGCAGACATCAATTGATGTCATATGTTTACGTCCATTCTGTTTACATCCGTTTTTTGGAAGGAAACATATTTTTTGCTTGTACTGACGACCACATATGACTTAAGTATTTTTTTTTTTCATCCGTGTTTCATGACAGAACTGATAACGCTTGTGTGAAAGGACTCCAAGGTTAATGAGTATCAAACACTCAAATGGATAACAGCTTTATTGAAATTTAGTTTAAAGAAGGCATAAACCAGATATATATCTGCAAAATGTTCCTTATTTTATATGGGAAAATGCAGTGTGCCTTATGCAGAACCTGTTTATTGCTCTGAGTTTCACACTATACGTTCCATTTAGTAGATTTGTGCTACAAATCATGTTATGTAAATGTTATCTGGGTTATGATGTTACAGTGTATGGTGTGTTTGGGTTTCAGGAATCCACACAGGGAAATAGCAGACCATCTGCTGCTGTGAGGTCTACAGCTTCTAATTCCAGAACAAAAAGAACAACATATAAACCTCAGACACCATCCTTATCCTCAGATAACTCCATTGTGGATTACCCTGATGAAATCACTAGTCAAGTTCTGGGTGTGTAGTTCTCTGATTGCTCATTTCATAGTTATTCTTGTACTGTCTTCAGAGCTCCAGATAGTAACATAGTAAAGTGACTATACTGTATTAAATACCATGATTACTAGAGTCATATTGGCAATATTCACCATATTTATAATAAAACAAATGTAATATAAGTGAATGCTTACTGAACACTTTGGGTAATTGTGAAGTGAATGTGTGACACACAGTGTTAATATATATATAGTGCAAAAAAATTAAAGGATTAATCAGAGTATAGTATCAAGTCAATGAAACTCCTGGGATATTGATCTGGTCAGTTAAGTAGCAGAGGGGGTTGTTATTCAGTTGCAGCTGCTTTGCTGTTCATGAAATTAACAGGTGCACTAGATGGGCAACAATTAAAAATGACCCCCAAGAAAGGAATGGTTTTAAAATATAATTGTGCGGACCACTGACATCTTTTCTGACTGTTTTTCACTAGTTTTGCATTTGGCTAGGGTCAGTGTTACTAGTGGTAGCATGAGGCAATACCTGGACCCTACGGAGGTTGCATAGGCAGTCCAACTCCTCCAGAATGGCACATCAATATGTGCTATTGCGAGAAGGTTTGCTGTGTCTCCCAGCACAGTCTCAAGAGCATGGAGGAGATTCCAGGAGACAGGCAGTTACTCTAAGAGAGCTGGACAGGGCTATAGAATGTCCTTAACCCATCAGCAGGACCTGTATCAGCCCCTTTGTGCAAGGAGGAACAGGATGAGCACTGCCAGAGCCCTACAAAATGACCTCCAGCAGGCCACTGGTGTGAATGTCTCTGACCAAACAATCAGAATCAGACTTCATGAGGGTGGCGTGAGGGCCTGACAGCCTCTAGTGGGCCCTGTGCTGACTGCCCAGCACCATAGAGCTCAATTGGCATTTGCCATTGAACAGAATTGGCAGGTCCGCCACTGGTGCCCTGTGCTTTTCACAGATGAGAGCAGGTTCACCCTGAGCACATGTGACAGACGTGAAAGGGTCTGGAGGAGCCGTGGAGAACATTATGCTGCCTGTAAACATCGGTCAGCATGACCGTTTTGGTGGTGGGTCAGTGATGGTCTGGGGAAGCATATCCATGGAGGGACGCACAGACCTCTACAGGCTAGACAATGGCACCCTGACTGCCGTTAGGTATTGGGATGAAAGCATTGGACCCATTGTCAGACCCTACGCTGGTGCAGTAGGTCCTGAGTTCCTCCTGGTGCATGACAATGCCCGGCCTCATGTGGTGGGAGTATTCAGACAGTTCCTAGAGGATGAAGGAATTGATACCATTGAATGGCCCCTACGCTCGTCTGACCTAAATCCAATAGAACACCTCTGGGATATCATGTTTTGGTCCATTAGATGATGCCAGGTTGCACCTCAGTCTGTCTAGGAGCTCAGTGATGCCCTGGTCCAGATCTTGTCTCATTAGGAGCATGCCCTGATGTTGTCAGGCATTTATATAAGCACGTGGGGCCATTCAGACTACTGAGTACCATTTTAAGATTTCAGCAAAATGGACTAGCCTGCTGTATAATTTTTTCACTTTGATTTTCGGGGTTTTCTTTGAATTCAGTCCTCTATATGGTTGATCATTTTCATTTCCATGAAACGATGGGGCATTCTTACGTTCTTAATACATTACCCAATCCATATCAGTATAGATATCCAGAATTATATTTTTCCGCATTGAGATCTGATGTATTTTCAAAGTGTTCCTTTAATTTTTTAGAGCAGTGTATATATATATATATATATATATATATATATATATATATATATATATAGTTTTAGCACATATATTTAAAGGGCTAGCGCCTACTTTTCACTTTTTTATGCATATGGTTAAAGTGTTTGATACAATTAAAGGGACAGCTGCCTTTGGTTGTCTATTCACTTTGTGGGGGTGGCATCCTCTCATTTGATTAGATATATATTGACCCCTGACTTATCCAAACAGCAAGACATAAATAGGCAATCCAAACAGCAAATCGTAAATTATGCTGAACAAAAAAAGCATCAGTCAATCAAATATTATACATATATATATATATATACATATATATACAGTATATATACCACCTCCATGGCCACAGGTGCATATAATCAAGCACCTAGGCATGCAGACTGCTTCTACAAACATTTGTGAAAGAATGGGTCGCTCTCAGGAGCTCAGTGAATTCAAGTGCGTTACGTGATAGGTTGTCACCTGTGCAATAAGTCCATCCATGAAATTTCCATTCTACTAACTATTCCACAGTAAGCTGTTAGTGGTATTATAACAAAGTGGAAGCAACTGGGAACAGCAGCAACTCAGCCATGAAGTGGTAGGCCACGTACAATGACAGATCAGGATCAGGGCATGCTAAAGCACACAGTGTGCAGAAGTCACCAACTGTCTGCAGATTCAATAGCTAAAGGTCTCCAAACTTCGTGTGGTCTTCAGATTAGCACAACAACAGTGCGTAGAGACCTTCATGGAATGGGTTTCCATGGCCGAGCAGCTGCATCCAAGCCTTACATCACCAAGTGCAATGCAAAGCGTCAGATGCAGTGGTGTAAAGCACACCGCGCCACTGGACTCTAGAGCAGTGGAGACGTGTTCTCTGGAGTGACGAATCATGCTTCTATGTCTAGCAATCCGACGGGCATGTCTGGGTTTGGTGGTTGCCAGGAGAACGGTACTTGCCTGACTGCAATGTGCCAAGTGTAAAGTTTGGTGGAGAGGGTATTATAGTGTGGGGTCGTTTTTCAGGGGTTGGGCTTGGCCCCTTAGTTCCAGTGAAGGGAACTCTTAACCTCCCTGGCGGTATTCCCGAGTGTAGCTCGGGGTAAAATTTCAGTACCAAAAGCGGTAACCCTGAGCTACACTCGGGCTTACCATGCGGCGTTGCTCAGGTATTCCCTGCAGCGCTTACCTTGTCCTTCGCTTCCGCGATGTGTCCCCTGCAGCGTCCCCGGCCATCTCCTTCGGCCGATGTTGGCATCCGGCTTCCGTGTTCCTGTCCCTGTGACGTTGGGATGTCAAATTTAAAAAAAATTCATTTTTTTGTAAATGAATATTACATAGTAAAACATTACTGTATCAAACCATTTCACATACATTTTGTCCCTACTGCTTTGTCCTGTGCCCTGCCTGCATTTTGACTGTTCTTTCTGCCTGGAAACTTAGAAAAATCCATGGCGTCCAAAAAGTGTCCCTTTAAGTCAAAGCGGTTTTAGACCAGCTAGAGAACAGCGATAGTAAATCAGAACCACTTGCAGAATTGAGTGATAATGATTTGTGGGGAAATTCGTCATCAGACACTGAAAACGATTTGGCGACTTTGCTCAGCGATGTGCGAACTTGGCGCTATATTTCACTGTTTTTGGTTTGATTATATTATTGAATTAAATTTATTATTATATTATTATTTTTTTATGATTATTTATTAAATTATAATTTATAATTTCGTGTTTCAAGTTTTATCATATCCGGAATGTTTACTAGACTCTTGTTCGGACAGATTTCAGTGAGTTATTCCTAAAAATTACAGCCTACAATTAAAAAAAAAATACATATTTCCATGCAAAAAAATGGTACCGCTTTCAGCACCAAAAATCTGAAATAATCATACCGCTAGGGAGGTTAAGGCATCAGCATACCAACACATTTTGGAAAATTTTATGCTCCCAACTTTGTGGGAACAGTTTGGGGATGGCCCCTTCCTGTTCCAACATGACTGTGCACCAGTGCACAAAGCAAGGTCCATAACAACATGGATGAGCGAGTTTGGAGTTAGGGGTGGAGGAACTTGATTGGCCTGCACAGAGTCTTGACCTCAACCCGATAGAACACCTTTAGCATGAATTAGGGTGGAGACTGCGAGCCAGGCCTTCTAGTCCCACATCAGTGCCTGACCTCACAATTGCGTTTCTGGTAGAATGGTCAAAAATTCCCATAGACACTCTCCTAAACCTTGTGGACAGCCTTCCCAGAAGAGTTGAAGCTGTTATAGCTGCAAAGGGTGGGCAACTCAATATTGAACCCTACGGACTAAGACTGGGATGCCATTAAAGTTCATGTGCATGTGTGTAAAAGCAGACGTCCAAATACTTTTGCCAATACAGTATATATTTTATATATATATATATATATATATATATTTTTTTTTTTTTTTTAATTAATCATTTATTTTTGCTCTTACAATGTTAATACATTGTTTTTTATTGATTGTTCCTGCTTTTGTTATTATTAGTCATAATTTGCTGTTTATATCCAGTTAGGTTATCTGTGGTCTAAATCATTTTAATAGATGTTCAACTTTGTTCATGGTTTTTTTTAAATACCAGCTATGTACCAATATAGCATTCATGTACTTCTTTTACAGAAATTCAAAAGCTTTCCATTTTTTTTACCAACCTTTATATTAGGGTCCAGTTGGCTGTACAAAAACGTTTTTCCATTACTTCTGCCTTATGTCCTGCAGACTTTAGGTCATGACACAAGAAGGAGTTGACCAGCTGATCTCATTAGCACACACCCTGCAACATCTACCCTCCCAGCTCTCACCCACTTTCAGGTGCACGAATATAAATGAAAAGCAATCAATCAGTGATCACTGTTCTCACTAAATACACAGACATCGATTTTTATTTTTCTACCTTAACTTTCATCTTGCATAGATCATTCATTTGGCATAGTGTGCTGAGTGAACAGATAAAAGCCTGTGAATAGAGCTGTAGTATTGAAAACAGGAGAAGTGTGTTCTGGGTTCTGTAAAGTTCACATACACAATACAATCTGATTGTACAATCTCCTTCAGACCTACCGTCAACTATGTAGTACAAGGGCTTGCCTGACTGAATACAGAGTGATAGGTGGGTCCTCCTATTCCACAGTTCTGGAAAATCTAAAGAAAATTGTATAGAGGAAATTGTACAGAGATTGTACAATCAGATTGCATAGTGTATGGCCATAGGAGGGAGTGCATGGAGACACTCAGCTGTCAAGCCCTGTTCACATCTCTGCATAGTGATTCACATTCCCGCATGCGTTTTTTGGGGGTGTTTTTGAGCATTTGCGCTTGTCATGCATAGAGCAGCTCATCCACTTGGATGGGCTGCCGTACATGTCCCTGGAAGTGGGTGGTAGGTAGGAGGGTAGATCATGCAGGGTTGCTCATCAACTTCTTCCAGTGTCATGACCTAAAGTCTCTGCAAGAAAAAAAGGCAGAAGTAATGGAAAAACTTTTTTGTACAGCCATCTGGACACTGACATAATGGTGGGTACAAAAAATGGAAAGCTTTTGAATTCCTCCAAAAGAAAGTAGATTAATGCTACTGTATACATAGGGGAGCTAGAATTTAGAAGAAAAAAAACCTGAACAAAGGTGAACTCATCTTTTAAAAACAAATTGTATGCTAAATAGGTGAGTAAGAAAAATATGGGGGAATATTAAAAATATATTAAAATGATTTAGACTACAGATAACCAAACTCCCCTCCCATAGGGGAGCTGGAATTTAGAAAAAGAAAAAGGTGAACTTATCCATTAAGTTTTTATGTAGCATTATATAAACCTTCATGAACAGGCCATTTTTCAGTTTTCAGTGCTATGATTTGAATGTGAGTTTGGCTGACAATTACTCGGTCATGCAACACTGTACCCAAATAAAATGTATATCATTCTTTCAGACAGTTACAACTTCTTTTGTTGGTACTTGATAATCACCAGGCTTTTTTTTTATTATTTACTAAATAAGAGAAAAAAGGCCAAAAAATTGGGATTGCTTACATTTACCTTTCAGTTCTTAAAAAAATTATCCCACAATCATGGGTGATCAGTGGCATTTTACCCCCCCCCCCCCCCCCCCCCGCCCACACACACAAAATGATTCTAAATGTATTTTTTTTAAATAGCAAACATGTCATACTTACCTGCACTATGCAATGATTTTGCACAGAGCAGCCCCAATCCCCCTCCTCTCGGGTCACTCAATGGCACTCTTGACTCCTCCCCCTGCTGAGTGCCAAGCTGCTTGCTATGGGAGTACTTGTGCTTGCTCACTTCCAAGCTGGCTCTGTGTGTCCACTGACTCACAGAGCATGGCTCGGCCCCATCCCTTGCTCTCTCCTCAAAGGCTGTGATTGAAAGCAGTGGGAGCCAATGGCCTTTAGAACCACTTTGATGGTCAGTGGCACTGTAAACCCCACTTGTCTTTCAAGAAGAGCAATCCCACAATCATTAGTTGTCACTGACACCTTATAAATTCCCCAAAACAATCCTACAATTATTAGTTAACAGTGGCAAATTAACCACTTCCCGACCACTCTATAGCCAAAAGCCTACAGTGCGATCCTCCAGTTCTGAGAGGGCATCCATGGACATCCTTCCAGAACCTGCAGATAACCGGCAAGACTGTCACTCCATTTTTTACACTGGTAATCAGAGCACTAATCTTCAGTGCCCTGATGATTAGTGCAGCTTTTCAGTGCCCATCAGTGCCTCATATCAATGCCCATCAGTGCCACCTATCAGTGCCCATCAGTGTCATGTATCAGTGCCTATAAGTGCCGCCTCATTGGCGCCTTCTCGTCAGTGCCCATCAGTGCAACTTAGCAGTGTCCATCAGTGTTGCCTCATCAGTGCACATCAGTACAGCCTCATCAACTGACTTCAGTGCATCGTCAACAGTACCCATCAGTGTAGCCTCATCAGTGCAGCTTATCCGTGCTCATCAGTGCTGCCTAATCAGCGCACATCAGTGGAAAGAGGAAATATTACTTATTTGCAAAAATTTACAACAGAAACACCTTTTTTTTTAAACTTTTTTGCGTTTTTTAATTTGTTTAGAAACCCCCCCCCCAAAAAAAAAAACATGGGTGTCAGCACTGAAAGCTGAAAATTTGCCTGTGCAGGAAGGGGGTGAACGTACCTGGTATTGAAGTGGTTAAACCATGAGACCATCATGGTTGTGATTGGTGTTATCTTATTAATATTATTATTATATAGGATTTATATAGTGCCAACATTGGTGATATTGATCACTTTGATTGGCTCTGTACATTGTGACTGTGATCTTAACTGTCCAATGTTAATGCCGTTCACAGGCGTACTGACCGCATGTGTTTTCTGCAGTCTTTTTTTTTTACAAATGGCACTCTAGAAAATAGCATCCACCACCTTGATTTCCACTGGTATGCAACATTAAATAATTTTCTTACAATAGAAGACCATAACATAGGATGGCCATAGACTTAACATGGTTGTTGGACATGCAAACATCAGTTCCCTGAACTCAGATGGTGTCCATTTGTGTTTATACTGTGCAGATGTCTGGACCAGTAACTGGATAACCTATCTAATTGCTTTTCCCCAAGGTGTCTCAGTTACTGTTCTCTGCAAATTTAAAATCACCAATGCAAAACACACATACTCAACTGACTATTAAAGTGTGTTTCAACCACAAAAGGTCCACATTTTACCTCCCCAGGGATTGGCTAGGCCCTGATTAGTTTTCAGGTTGGGTATTTGATTTCTAGCTCCCTAGGCTCATGAAGCTTCTTCTGGAGGCAGGGGAAGCAATAAAACTCCCAGCCTGTGAAACCCTGAAAAGACCAAACCAATCTCTGTTCCCTTGCTTACAATTATAAATGATATTTACTTAGCATCCCAACTAGGAGGGTGCTACACAATAACACAGAAATATAGTTTGATTGTATATTTGACATGTGTCAAAACAAACAGAATGTATATGTAAACTATACATCTTTGTCATATGTATATTTCTTCTAAGACACTACTTGGTTTAACCTTGTTATGCTATTATACGAATAAACTTCAACTGTTTAAAAAATAAAAAATAAATATAGTGCTGCAAGCAAAGCAATATGCATTGAAGTTTGCTAATGTTTATTTGCAGAGAATCTACATAGTAACAAAACATTTGCTCCCACAAAACCTACTTATGTCAAGAGTACTTATAGAGAGTGTTCTTTTGTTAGCACAGCTCCTTTTCAATAGAAGGCCCTTTTACAATGTTCTGTGTAGTTTATCCATGTTTTGTGTGATACACAATAATGCTTGTGTAATGTTTACTTTGTAAGATGTTTTTCAAGAACTAACAGTGTACATCTTGTTTTTGTAAATTGTTTCTGTATTTTGGATTTATTTATTACATTGTCTCAGATGAGGCCAACTGCAAGTTGAGTTAAACATCTAAACAAAGTACACTAAATTTAGTTAAGAGGCTTTGTAAGGGCTCATGTACACGGGGCGTTTGGAAAAC